AAGTAATTTAATGACTTCTTGGCATTCTCCAGCCACGGTCCTGACAGTGATCCCCCCCCCCTGCCCCATCTCCACGCTGACAGCCTGACCGATCACCTGACCTCAGACCGATCACGTTACAGGAGCAGCTAATTCTTATTCACTTGGTTGTGAGCAGCTCAGAACAAAAACCCACACTTCAAAGAACACTATTGTGTTTGTTACTGGGATCCAGAACATGGGTGTAAATAACCAGAAAACAGAGTGAGAATGACACAAAGGAACTTACCTGCATGCTGAGTTATTTGAGCTGTTGGGGTTTTTGTTTCTGGTGCTTTTTCCTGTGCATTTAGATCAAAAGTTATCCAGCCCCACAGAGGTCGTGTCTCCTTCTAGGTAGCCTGTGGAGGGGTTATCTCAGCATGCCTATAAAAAGGCATTTTTGTACAAAAGCAGAGCTGATCTAATGTTGTTTTGCACCCATAGATCCCGACTTTGTAAAGTGGTATTAAACAACAGTTCTCCAAGCCTTTGACAATCTTTAAAGTTTTTCTTTTTCACTTGTTTTAGTGCAGCTTTAATGCCTGCCCCTTTTAAAATGAATGGCTAGTTTTTAATGAGTCTTTAATGCAGAAAAAGGCCCGTAACTCAAGGGATGAGCCCAGCAATGTGTCCAATCAGCAGAGCAGCAGTTTAAAGTGGATCTTTAGGCTCTTTGTCAGCAGCAGCCTGTCACAAAGACACATCATTTGTTCCCATTTATTTAGCTGATGGAGGAAAATAGGCCAAAGGAAACACAGCTCATGTTGAATAAATTCTTAAATCTCATGGATTTAATATTGAAGTGCAACTTTTAAAAACATTTTTATGTATCTGCAGATCGTTTTTAATATGGAAAAAAATGGAGATCATCATTTAAAAACTTCATTGTCAGAGTGCAAGCAAACATTTCAACATGGAATACAGGCTTCGAAAACTATGATTTGTACAAAAACAAAAAGCATATTAAGACACATACGCAAGGCCAGAATAGAAGCATCTCTTTAAACTGGATGATATTTGGATAGGTGAGACAACAGCAGACAGTGAATTCAGTTAAAATAACATTTCAACTGAAATCATGTCAGAGTGGGTTAGGGTCAGAGTTCACCGCGGCGTGGCGATGATGTCGTATCTGCGAGGCACGTTGGCGAAGCTGCTGTATTCCGGGAGCAGGTCGATGCCCTCCGGACCCTCGGGGCAGGAAAAGGTGAAGCTCTGTAGCAGCGACACCAGGAAGATGAAGAGCTCCATCCGAGCCAGGGACTCCCCGACGCAGGCCCTTTTCCCTGCCACACAAACCAAAAAAAGGTAAAGACCGGGGGGCGTGGCCAGAGGGGGCGGAGCCAAAGGGGGTGGGGCCAGGCTCACCTGCAGAAAAGGGCATGAAGGAGGGGTTCTTCTTAAAGTTGCCGTTGTGGTCCAGGAAGTGCTGGGGGTTGAAGGACCAGGGAGTGGCCCACTGCGTCTCCTCTTTGAGCACAGAATGCAGCAGAGGAATGACCTGGGTTCCCTGTTGGGGGGGCAGAGTTGATCAGTTTAAGACAATCCAGACTAGGGATGTCACGATCCAGCTTTTTGCACTTCCGATCCTGGCCTATCAGAGCCTGTATTAAAGTTTAAAGTTATTTATTCTACTTACTTAGTTGTCAGACTCATGTTGAACAGGGATTTACTCTGATAACAACTTAATGGTTAGGACACAGACCTGTGGGTTAGGAGATGCTAATGCTAATGCTTGTGTGGGATCGAAAAAAAACTGGATCTGGAGTCTGAATCTGCATTTTTTTTTGCAAATATCGACGGCCGATCCGATCCAGATATCGGATCGGGACAAGCCTAATCGAGACTGTTTTCAGGTGTTGTTCCAAGATGGTGGAATGACCCACCAAGAGCAACAAGAACAGCCTAAAGTCTTAAAGAGTCTCCTATCCTGACTCCTCCCCAGACCTCTGGACCCTCTACTCCTCTTTCTGTGATTCCCTCTATCTCTCTTTGCTGTTACCACTCCTTCTGACTGGGGTTTTTCCTCTAGATAACTTATAATAACTGTAAAATTGTGTCTACTTTGCAAGCCTCTTTGGATAAAACGCATAAACATAAACGTCAGACCTGTTAACAGACAGACATCCCGTCTCTGGGATGGAGTCGTACCTTGGGGATGGTGTAACCCCTGAATGAGATGTCTTCCAGTGCGTAGTGGGGTAGGCTGAGGGGGACGATGTCGAGAAACCTCTGCACCTCGTGGATGACGGCATCCGAAAAGGGGAGGGACTTCCTGTCCTCCAGCCTCGGGGCTCGGTCTCGTCCAATCACAGCGTCGATCTCCTGCTGCATTTTCTCTGGAGAAGACAGCAGAGAGTCTGGGATGCTCTGAACTCCCCCCAGGCTTTTGCCACTGTAGTTAACTCATTGGCTGCCAAAGACGTCTATAGACGTCTTTTATGTTTTTCAACGCGAGTGGCTGGGGGGACGATCTGCTAAAGCTTGTCCGTAAATAT